AGGAAAACGACCGGTTTTCACACTTGCCTTGAGTTGCAAAGCAGACATGGGCAAGCCCGGATGGGAGCGCTCACGCTTGGCATATTTCTAGAATTGTGCCCTTGAAGCTGCCTTTGCAATCTCAGGAAGTTTGTTGAGTTCTCCACCAAGGAGCAGCTGCGCCCCGGCAACCACAACGGCGAAGCCTGCATCTTCTGTTTGGAATTCATGCTTAAGACTGGGGCGGCTGCTGGATGCAGGTATATTGTTTCAGCTTCACAGTTGCAACTGAGGCTTCCCAAGTGGCAGTGTTTTAGGGTCGGCATTGGTTCGAGTCCTGTTTGCTAAGTTCTTGTTTGGAAGGTTCCTGCAATGGCAGCCCCAATCGGTTGCATCCAGGTCACTTCTTTGCAACATGTTTGACAGGATGGCCATGAAAGCGGACCTGCGCGCTGCTGGCTTCCCCGCGTATGAGTGGTGAAGGCAGATTGACCCAGGGCCCCTGAAGCCAGGTGGTAAGCATGTGTTTGGCATTCTCACGGGATCAATGAAGTTTAAGGTTGAGGAGCAAACTGGCACCAGACCTTGAGATCCTGCAGCTCTAGTCAAGCAGCTGGTATCCTGCACCGCAATAGCCAATCTTCAATCCTTTGTCCTGGAGACATTTTCGCTGAGACATTCAACCTGTAGCATTACCCAGGATGAAAGTTGATCAGACTCGCATCGCCTGCACTGTGAGGCCGCCCTAAACGCGCAGGCCGGCAGCTGCGGACACCTCATGGCCGAAAGGCTTGAAAAAGTGTGCAGCACTGGGCCAGGGTGATTAGCGCACATATGCAGATATCGAGGATCAAACGTTCAGCCTCAGATGCGGCCTCTCACAGTATTTGCCTGTAGCACCAGGTTTACAAGCTTGGACAGGGTAAGAGGTCAGCATCACGCGATCACTTGAGTCCTGGGTTTGAGGCTCCCAGGATTTGAGGTTTGAGATGTTGTCTGCCGGCGCATTTGACTCGGTTGATTTTGTATTCAAGTCTCATCCCGAGTGACAGACACTGGTCTGAGGTACGGGGGCCTGGGCCTCGGCATCATGACCGGTCAGGAGGCAGGAGCTGGGGTTTCCATTTCTCTTGTTTTCAGCCTGAGGCTAGAACGAGGATGACGGTTGTAGTGCCTTGTAATTGCAGTGCATGTCTTTGGGCTTCAGTACTGTGCGATTTTGGAGCTTGATGCTTGTTAATTCTGCATGGTTGGCATGGGCTGTGCAGTACTTTAGGGCCATGGTCTAACCAAATACCCAAGATCTGCAAGCGATTTATTTTTGCCAGGGTCGAGAGTAGCTTTGACTTTGTCCTCGCCCTTTGTTCCACTTGTCTGCTGTCACGTCAAAGCCAGAGACATCAGGATTGGAGCCCATGATTGCTAACAAGTTTGTAACAAGTTGTGCGAGTCACTGAGGAACAAGAATGTTTCCCGCTCACAGAAGCTGCCAGGTCGCCTCGGCCGTGGGCGGCGCCGCAGCAAAAGCTGCGCCTGGAGGCTTATGGGGTTGGTCAAGTTCTCTCCTTTTTGGGCTCTATAGGCGTCAATAAACAAAAACAGCTGTGTAGAGAAAGAATGATGGGGCCCTCTCTCGGCTCCTTACAAAGAGATCAGATGAAGTTGGGAGTACAACAGGGCACTGAATTCTGGAGTTGTGGTGGTCTTGCGGGTCTTTATGAGCACTTGTTTGCTTATGCTTGGATGGGTCCGATCTGATCGTCTCGGTTCTTAGGCTTCTCAGACATGTGATGGAGGCGAATATCTTGTCTACAGCATTATAACCATGGCTTGTAAGGGCCTTTCATCTGCACGATGAGGAGGCCCGGCCAAATCGAACACGAACAAGCAGAACCGCGGGAAAAAGGACGATGAGGCCGCCCAAGTCGTCGTGGGCATGGAGCATTTGGGTGAAACGCTCCCCAGTACAACTGTTCATTCAGTTGGGATAGTTTACAGCGATGTGTGTGCCAGGACACCAATAGTTCTTGTTCACTTTGTTGGTGATCATGGATGAGCGATGTGTGTGTGAGGACACAAATTCTTGTTAACTTTGTTGGTGATCATGGATGCTGAGTGGTCACTGACTAAATGCACAGGGCTGACAAGCAGGACCTCATTGAGAAGCCTCGTTGGCGGTTCGGATAGCATGCCTTTTCGCAGTTCAAGACCAGTGGTGCCGCTGGTTGCTTGATTCAGGCCTTCGAAGCTTTGTGAGGGAGTTTCAACAAACGCTTGCTCTGTTGTTTGCTGCTGTGAGCTTCGAGGTGACGAATTTCCTGTGTGAAAGATGGTTTAGACAGCCTTTCCAACCCAAACTTTTACTGCATTTCGCTTGACAGCTCAGCCACCGGGTAAATATGAGAGCTTGCGACACTGCAGAAGCACTGCGCAAGGGAGTTGGCAAAGATCCGCCGGCCAGTGTCCTGAAGTACAGTAGACTTCATGATTGTCACCAAGAGCTTCGTAAACTATGGAAAGGTGCGGATGCTTCCCCGTAAAGGTTTCCCCTTACCAAGACCTCGTTGCTGTCCTCCTTTAGGCTGTTCAGATGCTCAGCCCCAAGCAATGCTTTTCTTTGTTTGCCCAGCCAGGCAAACTACACGACCATCATGCTGAGAAACATTCCCAACAAGCACTGCCGACTTGCTTACAATTGCCTGTGGACGGGGTGCTCTTACGTGAAGGCGTTTTCCCTCAGTCCAGTTTTCGTGCTTGGGCTTTCACGCTTTTTTGTCGAGCGGACTATGTTCAGGAGGAGGCTTCCAATGCTAGCCTAGGAGCTGATTTCAAGCATCCTTGCCTGATTCTGTCGGCTGCCCTGGATTCGATGCAAGCGTTGAACATTGGTTACCTCAAGCGAGAGAACCCTGCACCAGAACTCTTAGTTTCCAGAGCATCACAGCCTAACATGTCATCAGCGCGTAGAGAAGCAAGCCAGAATTGCCGCTTGACGCCCCAACACAAAGTATCAAACCTGCCCAAACCTTTTTTGCAGCTTAGCCTGATACAAGAAGCCTAAGAATTGCGTATTTCAACCCACTAGCTCCTCCACCCAAAATCTTTCAACTTTCAAATGCTGTGCTTGAAGAGGTATTCCAGACAGATGCTCATTGATCAGTAGGGGCTCTCAGGGGCATGCGTGTGGAGGGCGACGGAGTGAAACGGGTTTGGGTAGAAGCTGTGGCTTGGAGGTGCCGTAGGTTGCAAATTCTGTTTCTTGGCAATCGTTGAGTTGTCACACAGCCGCTCCTTCCACTACTTCATAAGGCAGATGTCATACATCAAGATGCTTTTCATCCACCATCTGCGTGTCAACCCTAGCAGTTATTTCAAGTGACAATTCCCGCCCATTCTGGTCCTCTTTGCAAATCCTGGCATTGAGCCTCATTCATCCTTTCACATCTACGAGGTTGCATGGTATGGGCTTCCTTGGGCATATCGACTATCTGCCTGAGCCCCAGCTTTGAGATTTATTCGCGTTGGAGAGATGTCAGGCATGAATGCTTGCGTGCTGATCAGTTTGGGATTCTGGCCATGCTGCTGTTTTGGCATTCCCAACCCTTTTTACTAACAAGACTTGTGTTGGGCGGTGGTTCTCATGAGTTCTGCTGCAGCTGCACCAGCAGCAACACGCCGCCACCGCCACCGCCACCG